TTTTTTTTTACCATACATGCTTTTATTCTTCCAAATCTGCGAAACAGACCCTTGCATTTTTGGGAGTAGGTTTATAATTTGTATTATTGGATTTCATTTAAACTGGGGTTTTGCCAGATAAACATTTGTCTAGGGCTCTTCAAATCAACCAGACTAGGTACCAATTGCAATTGTGGTTAATGAAGTTCTAGCTAGTAGCCTTGGATAAGACTTATGATGATGATGATAGAGATACCTTGAGTTTTGTCTGTGGTGTAGGAATGTTAAGAAGAGTTCCGAGTACTTGTAGCTGTGGTGTAGGAACGGAAAGAAGAGGTTCGGGCATTGTACTCATGGATGCTATCTTACTGCACTCGGGCACGCATCTTTTCTAAAAAATGAAGAATGGTTAAATTAAAACTTGTGAAATTATCTGTAAGAACATTGCTGATTATTTGTAGACTTATTTTAACTGCTGAATTAATTATAAGCATCCTTTCTCTCGAATCCTGCCAATAGATTTAATTTTGGTAGATTTGCACATAGTTTGAAAATGGTGAAATTTTAATTCTTTTATTCAACCTCAATTTATTATTAGAGGATCAACCTTATTGTTTGAGGCTGCTTCTAAATAATTTTTACTATGTTCTGCTAGTCACCCATGCACACTGATTCAATTCTTTTATTGTACTATTAGGGCTGTTTTTTGTCATCGATCAGTTCTCGATCACCGGCTATCAATGTAGTCTGCCGTAGGTAAACCATGACCTGGTCAATTGAGATTATTTCTTTGGGGCATTTTACATACATATCACACAATTCTTATTTATTTACGTATCTCACACCTAAATTTTCGTATTTACACACATAATAACATAGAAAATAGCACTATTTTTAAAAGCGAAATATACATTTTCATTCATAGGTTTAAATTAAAACACCAAAGTGTTATGTATGTAAATATAAAAGTTAGGTGTGAGATATGTGTAAATTAAGAAGAATTCTGTGCTACGTATGCAAATTTCCCCTTTTTTTCTGATCTCCTATGCTTGATGGGTGTTAACTGCATTTTTTTTTTAATAATTGCTTTTAATATTTGATTAATTTAGCATGATTCATGGTCTTGTTGCCTGTGGTGGTGAGGATGGATTTGTTGAATGCTTCGACATGAGAAGGAAATCTTCTGTTGGTAGAATTAATGCTGTTGCACAATCTGGCGATTTAGATCAGGTTGTTTTGACAAGAGTATACAAATATTATGTTATAAAATATAAAAATTGAAAAGGATTTCATGTTTTGGTTCTCAAATAACTTTTTGGCACTTATAGGAGATCACGGCTATGCAATTTGATGAAGACCATGGGTACCTGATGGCTGTTGGGAGTAGTGCTGGAAAGGTATGTGGATTGGAAAGCATAATTTGCATGATCATCTTTGTTTTGGCATGCCTTCCACAATTTATGCCTTCCACAATTTATGAGATAAATTGCAAAATCATTTTTTTTTATTTTTACTAGAAGTATCTTAAATGTTCAAAATTTAGGCTTCATTTGTTAATGTGTTTCGGCTAGGCTGCTTTTCAAAAACCCGTTCAATCATAATTTTGATTTGTGTGGCATATGCAAAGTGAAAATTATTTTTTCAATTGACTCAAAAGACTTCACGATTATTGAAAATACCTTTGTTAAGAAGCATCCCTATCTTTGCTAGAAATGATGGAATTGTCTTGTAGAAAACAACACAACAGTGAATTATCAAATACAACATTAAATGGAGATAATTTTATGGATTCAGTAGTGGTTTTTATATGTTTACTTGTTGCAAAGAATTTTATGAGATAAATTGCAAAATCTAACCCTTGATCTCTTGGAAGACTCCATGGTTATTAAATGTCTTGAGGCAGAGTTCTTTACACCCCGACGAATTTGATGCAGTGCCATTCACAAAAGCCCAGTTTTTCATGGGCTAATTCCATGAAGTCATATCAGGATGTAATAGTGTTGTGTTGAACCAATTTTGTAGGCCTTTATGGCTCGTATTCATTAATGACCGAATCTCTAACATTTTTGTCAGATTTATTTAAGTTTAATTGTCCTTATGGATATTGTTAGTGTTGAATTTACTTGGATTTGGGTTTAGAATAGGTTTAAATTTTTAATTTTTTTTTGTTTTTATCTTTTTGAATCTTATTTTATTGATAGGAATCCATAAAATGTACTTACTGATATTAAATATTGATAATGGATGAAAGAAAAATATTCTTGAAGCCATTGAGTGTTCTCTTTTAATCCAGTATGTCTTTGATTGAAGTTTGATCTGCAACCACTTAGTGCACAACATCTGTTATTGCTAGTGCCATGGTTTGAACTCTCATTTATGGCATTTGGTCCTCATCAATACAACCAGCAATGGAGACTCATCTTACTCTTTTTTTTTTTTTTTTGGCTCCATGGTGGGTTCTGATGATCGCTCATTTACTATATACAAGTAAATATATAGCGTACTTTTTATTGTGCCTGATTGATCAAATGAAGACTTATACGATTCAAATGGAATAATTTGTTAATCTTAGAGAATTTGTTGCACAAGAAGGTTCCTTCATTTTTGGAAAAACTTCAAAAGATGTCGAAATGACCATCTTTGAAAATGTCCCGCACTTTCTGCACTCCCCATTGCAGTCATTCATAGAATTAAAGAAAATCTACACCCACACCCAAAAAAAATTATTAAACCTACCAATTAATAATAGTTCATAAATAATTCAAACACTTTCATTTAATTTTTCAAATTTCAGGGTACAACCCCAACCCATAGTTTTTTTCATTTTCATCAAATTCTCAATAGTTTGATCATGGCACGCACAAGCACATCAGTTCGGTGATTAATTTGTAATATCAATGTTTTAGATGGTCTGTATGCAATTTTCCCTAATAAAAAGTTAAAAAAAAAAACTGAAATGCTTAGAATTAATTAATAAAATAGATGATATTTGCAATAACTTAATAAATATAAAATGTGCAAACATCTACCAAACAATTTTTCCTAAACCTCTTTTCTGGAGAGCACAATCTAAAATCGCCCGTTACTAATGTTATACTATTCCTTAGGTCAATCTTTAACAATCTTGACTTGTTGAAAGATGGCCTTCCTGGAGCTATTGTTACTGCTCTCATTTTAGGGTCCCATGAAGTTGGTCATTTTTTTTTTTTTGGCAAGAGATATTGGAGTCCAGCTTGGTGTACCATTTTTTATCCCTAGCTGGCAGGTAAATTTATTCCCATCCACTTCAGTTTATCATACAAGGATTATATATATATATATATAATCCTTGTATGATAAACTGAAGTGGATGGGAATAAATTTACCTGCCAGCTAGGGATAAAAAATGGTACACCAAGCTGGACTCCAATATCTCTTGCCAAAAAAAAAAAAATGACCAACTTCATGGGACCCTAAAATGAGAGCAGTAACAATAGCTCCAGGAAGGCCATCTTTCAACAAGTCAAGATTGTTAAAGATTGACCTAAGGAATAGTATAACATTAGTAACGGGCGATTTTAGATTGTGCTCTCCAGAAAAGAGGTTTAGGAAAAATTGTTTGGTAGATGTTTGCACATTTTATATTTATTAAGTTATTGCAAATATCATCTATTTTATTAATTAATTCTAAGCATTTCAGTTTTTTTTTTTAACTTTTTATTAGGGAAAATTGCATACAGACCATCTAAAACATTGATATTACAAATTAATCACCGAACTGATGTGCTTGTGCGTGCCATGATCAAACTATTGAGAATTTGATGAAAATGAAAAAAACTATGGGTTGGGGTTGTACCCTAAATTTGAAAAATTAAATGAAAGTGTTTGTTATGTAATTAGCAAGTTTCGGATGGTCTTTATTA